CTTCACCTGCCATGTCTGCAGATTGCTCGAACTCCTCCCTCGGAGCCGTGTCCTCAGCGGGCGGTGGTGGTGGCGGAGGCTGTCGCGGTGGAGGTGGGCATCTCCCTCTCCCGCCCCGCCAATATCCTCCCCGGAACGATCATTGGGGCCGGCAATGCCTTCAACAAAGTTACCGGATGGGTCCTGAAAATGTCCTGGACCGTCACCATTGTACCAGTTGTACCCACGGCCGCCACCAGAGGATGATCCATGATGCAGCCCCTCACCACATGCATCATACCCGTCATCTCCCCATTACCCGTAACGATTGAACCTGAGACCATCTCTGCTGTATCCACCACGACCTTGACCCTCCCATCCATTGGGAGCACCACGACCCCTTCCAAGGGTCGGCGCCTTGGCCACCGGCGGCTGTGCCGGTTCCTCCGGCTTGCGCACGCTTGGTCGAGCTGCATGCGCCGGCGCCTGGAAGCTCGAGGCATCAGCCAACGGGCCTTGCCGCACGGTTGGTTGAGCACCCCGGCCGGCCTCGGCTCTAGCCTGCGGCCAGCGACTGTTGTGGAGGTAGACCACCACGTCCGGCACCGCCAACCCCAACGGCAGACGAGGCGCCACGGGCGGCACCGCCGGCAACAGCGGCGCCAACGGCGGGCGGCGGCCCTCGCTTGATGGGTGGTGGCCCACATCCCGCCATGTTGTTGGCGCAGGAGATCCTCCTCGCCCGTCCTGTGCCCAAAGTCGGAAAGCCCGGAGCAGAAACCCTAGACGCTATCACGGGAACGTCGGGCACCGTTGATACATGCACGTACGTAGATTTTGGATCAAGTGAGGCTTGGGCTTCTGGCTGGGCCTCACCCGAGCCTAGAGAGCCCATGACTGTCGCCGCACCCGACTCAAGTCCATGGCCCAGCAGCATATCCATGGCCCAGCAGCTCGGCCTCTTCTTATTATTTGCCCCAACCTGCCACGGTGACTCATACGTCACGATGACAAAACAGTTGACTAGGCAGACTACTTGGACCCATTTTCACTATGGGTGTATCCGATATGACGCATGAGCAGGACGGTGCAACTAGCCGCACATTTTCGATAAAGTTGACATCATTTCGTTAAATGACTGAATTTGACGAAAGTTAAGAATATTTGACATAATTGACATGCGTCTGAGGAGTAGGCCTTTGCACTGTCAGCTCAATCAGCTCTCATGCCGTCCAGACTAGTGAATTTGGCTTCGAATAATTATCCTCTCTTTTTGCGGGTACGAATAATTCTCCTCTTGCCTATCAACAATGGATAACTTTTTTCTACTTACTCCTTCATGCTAAACAATGAACTAATGAGGGTCATTTTGATATCTTTGCGGTGATGTCGTGGACCTTATGGACATTGGACGATAATAATAAATTGGTGATTGAGCGGGTCTTTCTGCGATATGTGTCTGGTTCCTTTTGGTATTGGCACCCACTCAATCAGCAGCACGGCCGTGATCGTCTCGGCCCCATGCTAGTGCGCTTCTGACTATAGCGCGTCGTTTATCGTCGTCATAGGACCGCCTGACAACAGCCACTAGGTGGGTTTTTCCTATTTATCTTCTGTTTTTTTTTGGCGTGATTGTGTTCCGGCCCGGTTATCGTTCTTGTTTCGAAGTTTGAATGTTGGTTGCGTAGATCGTTGCTTTATTTATAAGCGGTACGAAAGCCTATTTCGAAAGGACCTCCTTGATTCCTAGATTTCCGAAAACACATAAATAGAAAAAACATAGGATTACAATGTTATTGCCATATGGATCCTACAAGATTGTGGTTTGTTTGATTGCTTCACAGAAGAACAAATGAACAAATTAATGATTGTTTTCAAGAGTTTCATGTAGTATATATGCTAAAATTTCGATGCCGTGTAGTACCAGGGAATCCTTAGGAAATTTTTATATAGGATTTAATCCACAAATCAAATGATCAACGTTGTAGCACGAGACCCAGAAGGCTTTCAATCAAATTCCTAAAAAAAAGGACGCCTTGTGACATGGCATAATACTGACCTTGCATAGCGCTGCTTGGTAGTTTTGGTGGACAGGATTTTGAGTTGTGTTACTTCTAGCATCGAGGTTTTCATTAAAAAGAACATATTCCTTGGGGGAAAAGCGCAAGTGGGTGCCACTGCGTCCACGCTGGCCCCGCCGTGACTACCCTAGTACAGTCCATAGACTATAGAAGTGTGGAGTCGGCGTCGGCAACGTTGTTCAACTCCTGACCGCAGGCATCATCGGAGGCCTCCCGCCGCTCGCACCTGGCCCGCCGCCACACCTCCACTGTCCATGTCGAGGTACATGTTCATGCCCCGGTGTGCACAACTTATTGGCCGTCTTATTTTATTTGTAAACCTCCAGCCTATCATGGGTGTGCACATCGCGTGCCTGTTCTGCAGGTTGATGATTCAGACCGAACAGAGAGTGGTCTGTCCCGTTGAGTACTCGCCGGGAATGTATCCAGTGCTACCGATGCAGCGGATGCTACAGAATATTTTGAAAAATCTGAAAAAATTCTAGCACGTTAACACAACATCAATATATGATGTCATAAAATTCCGTATAAAAATTTAAAAAGTCTAGTGAAGCAGCACGGTCTAATCATATAGATGACCATAATGTTATGGTTCCATAGAAAACTACTGAAGGCCATTACCACCACCGAAATAGTTTCCATACTCCGTTGGATGATTTGACGTTATCGCAATATCAAGCTAGAAAAGTTTCAATTTGTAGGACGGGAACACACTAACCAATGAAGCTCAACCCTCTCTGAATTGAGCTATTTCCGCTTTTCCGAACAAAAAGTTCGAGTAGTTCAGTGAAGAAATTATTTTTTGAGATACAAAAATGATAAATTTGACATCAGTGTGATAATGTGCCAAATCTAGAGCACAGGTTATGTTATGTACTATTCGGTGTTGAATTTGTTGTTTTTGTTTTTTGAGTTATATTTTAAATTTTGACATGAAATTTTGTGATAACCTACATTGATGTTGTGTGAGTGTGCTAAATTTTTTTCATATTTTTTGAACATTTTAAAAACACAATATGAGTTATGTGCACCGGTAGCACCATAAGCTCTGGTGCACCAGATATTTTCCCACTCGCCGGTGCCTGTTTATAAGGGTGCTGATAGGCACCGGCGTGCCGGCCCAAACTTTCGGCCGGTCGCATCCTAACCTTTGATGCAACGATACGTAGCCGCCCGATAAAAGCATCTCTTTCATCTCACTGACCCTCAAATTGTGTGAGCGTGCGCGGACGAAAGCGTCACATCCGTCATCGAGGTCGCCTCGTCGTCGACGCCCTGCAGCCACCTCGTCGTCGGTGACAGCGCGGCCATGAGCGATTGTCGCATTTGCAGAAAAGCCACCCCCCCCCTTCCCCTCGCCTCGAAGTCACCGCACTGTCAACGCCGCCTGGGCCCCCAACTCGCCGCAGGTAGCAACACCACTGTGGAACGGTTGCAGTTTCTCTGTTCATGGTCCCAGCACTGCCTCCGACAATGGATGCAACTTTCTTCGGTGACGGTTGCAGCTCCGGCAAACGCCGGATGCAGCTTTTTCTCGTCAGTCGCATTTTCAATGCCTTTCCAACTTTCATCACTGGTTCCAGCAAAAAAAAATGTTGGTTCAAGCATTTCCGCAATCGTTGAATCCATGGCGCGGCCGTCGCTAGCTCCCTCCATCCTTGGTTACATCAAAAGCATGTGCTGGTTGTAGCAATTGCAGCGGCCGGCTCCAGCACCACATCTAGTTGCATCATTTTGCGGTGGTTAGTTCCAGCTTCGCTGCTAGCTAGATCCAGCTCTCCCTTTCTTGGATGCAGCATTTGCGGTGGCCGGCTCCAACACCGCAGCTGGTTGCATCATTTGCGATGTCCGGTACTAGCTTTTCTTTTTCCGTTTGCAGCAAATCGACCTCGCCGGATGCGCAGTCGATGCTCGCCGTGGAAAAAAAATGGTGGCAGGTTGAAGAAGGGGGAACAGACATGGCCGTGAGACTTTGGTGGTGGTTGGGGCATCTCAGGCGACGAGCATGGAAGAAGGGGAAATGGGCGTGGCTATAAGATTGTGGTGGTGGCCAGGGCATCCCACAGTGATGGCATTCGATGGAGTTTGGAAGAAGGGACGAAGAGAGTGATGGAACGAGTGAAGGAGCGCACGCGGGTAGATAAGAGACTATGCTTCGGTGCCTTAAGGCATCTGCCTTTGTGTCTATGGCATGTGGGCCCAACAGGTGGTTGGCCCACACGTCAGTGACCCAAAGACAGGTGCTTTTAAGGCACCGAAGCTGCGTCCGTAGATAAGGTATGTACATGTGGGGGCGTGTGTGGCCCTAGCAGCCACATGGCATAGCGCGGGGGGTGATTCAGCATGAATCGCACTAAAGAGGGTGCCCGTGCGGCCGGCCGAGCATTTCGCTGATCGGCCGGCTACAAGCATTTACCTATAATATAGGCATGAAACTTCAAGTTACATATCAGTAGGAGTCAGAAACGCCAAATAACTGATATTAAGGAGATATGAGAGTGTTAAATTTGAGATTTAAGCTACAAGGCACATGGAGCTGCAGGCCCAACGATGTAAGAGGTATATGACTAAAGCATAAGTGATTGGACTCGAACGAAAAACAAAATTTCGATGAAAAAAAACTGAGCCATCAGCGACGAACAAATATTTTCACCAAATAGCAAGTAGAAGGTTGTGTAGAACATGCAGTGACTGTCAAATAATATCACTACTAAATAAATTGTCACCTTTTCTGATGACCCTCATATGAGCCCGTCCCGGCTACAAAGGAAAACTACCAACATGAAAGCACGTTATCACCATGCGTAAATCTCTCAAACTCAACAAAAAAACATGCGTGGATCTGGAACAAGTTCCGGCCCGTAGAGGCAACTGCTAATCACTCTTGCCAGATAAAAAAATGAAGCATGGATTAGAGCATCACGAGAATCATGCCCAAGGTTAGCACACGCATTCCTCGTCTTCAACTACATCCCAGGTGTCGTCCAGAGCAAAATTGTCACGGGGAGAAGCAACGGCGATCTCCTCCTCGTCATTGAAACCCGAATTGGACTCCGTGGCAGAAGACCAGCTGCTCCCGGAAGTGGCCGATCTGATAGAGCTAGACAAGCTCGATGAAGCTAGCTGAAGTGGCTCACAGACAGAGAACAGTTTGGAAGGCGCCGATACGACGGAGCCGACCAAGCTCGATGAACTTTGGTCCAGCGATTCACCAACAGGAAGTAGTTTTGAAGGCGCTGATACGACTGAGCCCGCTAAGCTCGATGAAGCTAGTTCCAGTGGCTCATCAACGTAGATTAGTCCGGAATGTGCTGATTGGACCGGGCTGGGAAAGCTCATTGGAGCGAGCTGCGGTGGTTCTTCAGCAGGGAATTCGCCAGCTGCTGACTCGACTGAGCTGGACAGGATCGATGAAGCTAGTTGCCGTTGTTCATCGGCAGGAACTCCCATATCAACTCTGCGTTGGAGCTGTACAATGTTGCCGAAGATTCCAAGCATTTCTCCACTGAAATAATAAAGGCGCATATATGTAGACTCGTGAGTTAAATATTTTCCAAATGTCAGTTCAAACGATTCGTGAGTTAAATACTTACTGCAATGCATCCACAACATGGCCCCTGTCCATCAGTAGCTCCCGCAGCTGTATCAAGAGATTGCATGTTAGCCCTCCTTTCTTAGAATCACGGCCAGGAATAATATCGGTATGTCACCCAAGTACAGTAGCTCATTTGCTACCTTTACATTCTCCTCTGCCTGTTGCTCCAGCTTCTTAGACTCTTCCTTGGCAGCATCAAGTAGGACTTCCTGTTCTTTTAGCATTTCTTGAGCCATTTTTTTCCTTTCAATCATTTCCATCTCAGCGGCTGCCCTTTCTGCTTCTGCTAAATCGAGCCTTCTTTGAAGAGTTTGGTGCATCTTCACAATTGTACATGATAAAAGTTGTAAGAAACTAAATTATATTTCATGTTGAAATAGTAATAACCAATGCAGCATAAAAATTAGTATTATCAACATATAGTGCAAAATAAAAACAGCAACAGAACTTTCTGACACATAGCTAGCATCTACTCAAAATAGGCTAAATGTCCTAGAAATACAGTAAGCTGCCTGTATGAATCAAGGATTTACAGCAGAGCAGCCAGACATAGGAGCAACTAACACAAAGCAAAGTGCAACTGTAACACAAATTTATTTTTTCCTATAAAAAGGCAACACACTTTATTTGGCCGTGAGTATTGAACCTGTACTTGATGCTGGCTAGTGTACACTACACTGTAAGCCCGAATCGTACTTATATTTCAATAGACAACAAAAGAGTGCAACAGTATAAGGTTATAACTTACCTCGTCAATGACTGATATGAAGTGTTTTCGTTCTTCAGAAATGTCAAACAACCAGGACTGGAGCCCCTGCGCTTCTGAGGCTAGAATAGATTTCTCAGCAAAAACCTCTGCTGCAACCTACACAATTTCCATTATTAAGGATCTTGTTCTTTTTTTACGGAAGTTCTTAAAGGGTCTTGCTGCAAGTCAATTGGCAGAAAATAAAGTACAAAAAGTAAATTCTTTGAGTAAAACCTTGTTGTTCTCTTCCGCTGCAAGTGTAGACATTTCTTTTAGCTTCGCCGCCTTTACAAGAATATCATTGCCAGCTTGACTTGCTTCGGATACAACATGTTTTGTTTCTGCCTCACTAACCTCAACCTCCTCTAGCATTTCACTTATCGCTGCCACATTTGACAGCAAAGTATTCTGCAACACACATTCATACATTAAGAGAAATTGGAAACATGTAAAATTTCGGAGAACAATGTATTAGGAAGTTTTCAATGAATCCAACCTAAGAAGCACACAATGTAACCCAAATGTGACACTCGGATTAGTCAAAATGATTAGTAATTTGGTGAGGGAATATTGAGATTTGCAGGAGGAAGGTGGGCATATTTTAATCCTCAATTTTTCATATGAAAGTGATGTTGATTCTACTATTGTACAGCTACTATCACAATTATTTTGAGTTGTTACTAGTACTTTTGACAAGTAAAAGTGATGTTTCATGAATTTAATGAAAAGGAAACACTTTTACCTTCTTGCAGTTTTCAGCAGAGATTGCATCATCAATGGACTCAGGGCTAACAGAATAGTTTGATCGCACGTTCATATCAGGTGAATCATCACCATGCAGCGTAGAAATATCTTCAGAAGTTGGCTCGGCCTGGTTTTCCTCAGAAGATGAGTGTATTTGTTCATCACGGTGATCTTCAGTAGTGGGGTCCAGATAATTCATTTCTTTCTGCTCGTTTTCAGAATGAGCTACTTCATGATCAACAACTGAGTTCTGCGCACCAGCTAGCACAGAATCAGAATCAATTTCTTCAGGTAGACCGTCCTGACCAGATGTTGATGCTGCAGCAGGTGACTGCATCAATTGTTCTCCCATGGAGTTTTCTCCATGTTCAGCAGAATTTTCATTGATAGCGTCAAACTGTACAGATTTTGGAATGGTACCATCATCCACTGGCGGGATCGTGAAACTAGTGTTTGTGTCACTAAATACCTGATGTTGCCCTGAGAAAGGATTTTGTCAACACAAAGAAGTGTTTTGAGATGAAAACAGGAAGTAATGAGGAAGAAAGAAATCTTACCATGAATATCTGAATCATCATTCGTGCTTGCATTATTGTCATCTGCGGTACTATTTGGAAGGACATTATGGATAACATAATCTGCTGCTGCATCAGCATCTCCATTGAATGAGATGGAAACTTCTATCAGTGTTGAGAAGTTAACCTGCATAGTTAAAAGTGGGGATGTGGTAGTGTGTGTTAGTAAGTGGCGTACCAGGTCTATATTAATTTTTTAACAACAAATGCATCCACAATTTCATACAGTAACTCCATCCGTTCCATACTACCCCCTTCATTCCAAAATAATTGAAGTTCTAGGTTTGTCCTAAATCAAACTTGCTTAAGTATCATCAATTCTATAGAAAAAATGTGGTAAGATCTACAACTATTCCATTCATTACTTGGGTTTTCTTAATTGGTTAATGAAAATTAGTTTTGCCTAGGCTTTACTACAACAATCACGGACCCAGAAAAACTCTCACCAAGACTAGAGAACAAAATTGCAGAAAGAATTGAAATGCATGCGTACTTCAATCAAATTCTCTAGTGTTTGAGAAAAACAGATCACTTCTCCGTGTCATGCGTACGGCATGAAATTAAGGTGAAAGCAGATCAACCAAAGCCAGTGGTTCACATACATATGTCCTGCAAACTAAGAAAAGAACACCATACGCTGTGCATTGCAATAATTATTAAGCATCTGTGTGTCAACGCAGAGCAGCCCTATGTATTCACGAAAAACTCAGGCATACACACACACAAACACACACACGATCAGCAGCGTAGCAATGTGTTAAACCGACGAACTCGTCAGCAGTATTATTTTTTTACTGTAAAAAAATCATCGGCTGTACAAGTACAACCAATCCAACGGGCGTCGATTACGAGGTTTCTTGCAGAAAAGAAAAGATCAATCGCGTGCTTGCGGTCACGGGCTCACCTGCGGGAACACCTGCACGAGGCCGTCCAGGACGAGGAGCGCGTCCCCCGTCATCCTCGCCTCCTCCTGCGCGAAGGACCATAGAACTCGTTAGGATCGAACTCGTATCCAGACCGAACATGCAAAAGCGATCCTAGGTCACGAGGGGGCGGCGGGCGGACCTCGAACTTGCAGCTAGTGTGCGTGCCGTCGGCGGATGACGACGAGGAGGAGGCGCCCGTGGCGCCGTGCTTGCGGCTTGGGTCCATGCCGTTGCCGGCGGGGAAAGACGGAGAGGCGCCCGTGGTGGCTGGGAGGATTGGTTGGCCGGGGTCTCGGGGCGGGCGCTGGCTGCTCTGCTGGGGGGCTTTGGGAAGAGGGATTTGATGGGGCGGGCGATCTTGGGAGAGGGGCCCGGCTTTAATCCGAGCAGGAGAGCGATTCCTCGTCGGTTCTGTTTTGCCGCGATGTGGTTCGGGGGTGGCACGCGACGCGGGCTGCTGCAGACGACGACGAGGCGCGCGCGCGCGGGGGGGCGGGGGCCGTTGGATCTGGGAGCTCTTGGGTCGCGTTCGGCGCCAGGATTCTCAGCGGACGGCGGGGATGCGTTGTGCGCCGGTGCGGGTGTCCCGGGCGAGAGCAAGGCAGCTCTGACCCGAGCGGTTTTCAGTTTTGTGGAAGGATAACTACTCTGACCCGAACGGAACAGATATCTGTTTGGACTGGAGATCGAACGATGGAACGGCTCCGCCTCCAGATTGCAAAGGGAAGGTGATCCAGATTCCAGCGTGGCCGATGATGGGGCCAATCCTACACTCCTTTCCCGGCACGGTGAAAGGTGACGAGTCCCCTCGCGGCAGCGGCACGGCGCTTAATTCCCTTCTCGTCCTGCTCGTTTGGAGTTGGCCATCACTTAGCTCAGAGCTGCAGACTAGAGCACAATTGATCGATGACAGGATAATATCAAAGAATTCCAGTAGAATCGTCCTATTCGTTGCCTCCAAAATGTCACGGTATTACGGTGTGTTCCATAATTCGTTGCCTCCAAAACGAAGGGTTTTTTTTGCTAGCATAATTCAAACATCACAACATAAAACAAAGCTCATCTAGCTTACTTAAACAAACAAATAATTTGAATGTAGTAAATAATTCCTTTTGCGAGAAAAATGTAATAAATAGTTCAATAGAACACATAGTCCAAGGAAAGACATAGTAATGAATATCTAAAATGTAAACATACTCTCGCCCATGTAGTTCATCTCCAGCCGCGCCCCCAACAGGCCTTCCCCAGGCGTTTTTGCCGCGCCGGCGCCAAAAAAACGGCCCAGTCGCGTCCCCAGTAGCCCGTTTTTCGCCGGCTCGGGTCAAAACTGGTGCCGGCGGACCCAGGCCGAACCCGGCGTCCTGGGGGCGCTTGGGGAGCCGGCACAAGCGAAAAAGGCGCGTGCGTCCGCCCTGGCGGCGACCCGAGGGCTTTTTCCCACCGTTTCTTGACGCTTTTCCCTCGCATCCCTCCCGCTCGCTCGCCTTCCTCCCGCCTTTTCCTCTCTTCCTCCCGCCAAACCCCCTCCCGCTCGCCTTCCAGTCGCCGCCATGCCGCCGAAGAAGTACGCCATGCCGCGCGCGGCGGCAACCACGACTGGCACCGTGGCCCAGCCGAAGCAGAGGAAGCCGAGGGCGCCGCCATTGAAGCCACCGGGCATGTCGAACACCGAGTGGAGGGTGGAAGTTCAGCGGCGCGACGCAGTCACCGCCGACCGGCGGAACAGGGCCATCGCCAAGAAGGCCCGCGACAAAGCGGCGCTCGCGGCGGCGTCCTCCTCATCGGTCGACCACGCGGGGATGATGAACCCACCCGTCGTCAGCCACGCCCAGTACGCGCCCTGGGGACAGCAAGGCGTCGGATCTCCATGGGGATCGTCGTCGCCCGGCTACACCGACGGCGACGCGCACGGTGGGTTCAACCCAAACGTGACCTTCCCCCATGGCCACCTCGCGACGCGCACACCCTCGCCCGCCTTCGTCGGCATGCAGTATCCTCCATACAACTACTCGCCGCCCGCCTACGCGTCCACACCGACGCCCCATCTCCGCCGTGGACCGCTGCCGTTCTCGCACCTCGGCGACGCCGACGACACAGGAGCCGACATGGACGACATCATCGCGACAGGATCGACCGCGGCCGCCGCGTCTCCCGGGTTCGCCACCCAGGACGAGGTAGTGGATCTCAGCGGCGACATGGAGGCCGAGCTCGGCTACGTCTACGGCGAGGACGTGCACGAAGCGCAGGAACCCGAGGAGGAGGAGGAGGACGAGGAGGAGGAGCCGGCTCCTGATCCGACGAAGGGGCGCCAGAAGAAGAAGCGGGCGGCTAGGCCAGGCGAACCGTGCATCAAGTGGACGTCCAAGGAGGAGGAATGCCTCGCCGAAGCATGGAAAGTCGTTTGCCTCGACCCGACGACCGGCACGAACCAGAGCTTCGAGACGTACTGGGACCGCATCAAGACCGAGTTCGATGAGCGGAAGCTCGTCGACCCCTACTTCAAAGGCGTCTACATGCAGCGGGGCTCCAAGGTGTGACGCCCCCGATTTAATCGTACACTAATCATGCACGCAAATATGTACGATTATGCTCAGGGACTCACGGGAAGATATCACAACACAACTCTAAAACATAAATAAGTCATACAAGCATCATAATACAAGCCAGGGGCCTCGAGGGCTCGAATACAAGTGCTCGATCATAGACGAGTCAGCGGAAGCAACAATATCTGAGTACAGACATAAGTTAAACAAGTTGCCATAAGATGGCTAGCACAAACTGGGATACAGATCGAAAGAGGCGCAGGCCTCCTGCCTGGGATCCTCCTAACTACTCCTGGTCGTCGTCGTCAGCCTGCACGTAGTAGTAGGCACCTCCAATGTAGTAGGGAGTCGTCGTCGATGGTGGCGTCTGGCTCCTGGACTCCAGCATCTGGTTGCGACAACCAGAAAGAAAGGAAAGGGGGAAAAAGGGGGAGAAAGCAACCGTGAGTACTCGTCCAAAGTACTCGCAAGCAAGGAACTACACTACATATGCATGGGTATATGTTTAAGGAGGCCATATCAGTGGACTGAACTGCAGAATGCCAGAATAAGAGGGGGATAGCTAGTCCTATCGAAGACTACGCTTCTGGCAGCCTCCGTCTTGCAACAAGTAGAAGAGAGCAAATCGAAGTCCTCCAAGTAGCATCTCCAAGTAGCAACTCCAAGTAGCATCTCCAGTAGTATCGCATAGCATAATCCTACCCGGCGATCCTCTCCTCGTAACCCTGTGGAAAAGCGATCACCGGGTTGTCTGTGGAACTTGGAAGGGTGTGTTTTATTAAGTATCCGGTTCTAGTTGTCATAAGGTCAAGGTACAACTCCAAGTCGTCCTGTTACCGAAGATCACGGCTATTCGAATAGATTAACTTCCCTGCAGGGGTGCACCACGTAGCCCAACACGCTCGATCCCATTTGGCCGGACACACTTTTCTGGGTCATGCCCGGCCTCGGAAGATCAACACGTCGCAGCCCCACCTAGGCAAAACAGAGAGGCCAGCACGCCGGTCTAAACCTAAGCGCACAGGGGTCTGGGCCCATCGCCCATAGCACACCTGCACGTTGCGAGGGCGGCCAGAAGCAGAACTAGCCCCCTTAATACAAGAGCAGGCTTACGTTCCAATCCGGCGCGCGCTGCTCCGTCGCTGACGTCTGAAGTGCTTCGGCTGATACCACGACGTCGGGATACCCATAACTACTCCCACGTAGATGGTTAGTGCGTATAGGCTCATAGCCAGACTCAGATCAAATACCAAGATCTCGTTAAGCGTGTTAAGTATCCGCGAATGCCGAACAGGACCAGGCCCACCTGTCTCCTAGGTGGTCTCAACCTGCCCTGTCGCTCCGCCACAAAGTAACAGTCGGGGGCCGTCGGGAACCTAGGCCCACCTCTACCGGGATGGAGCCACCTGCCCCTTCAGCCCCCAACTCCGAACAGTATCACAGGTAATGTAACAGTGTAAAGTATATAGTATATGCACGTGATCACCTCCCGAAGTGATCACAGCCCAGTAGTATAGCATGGCAGACGGACAAGAGTGTAGGGCCACTGATGGAACACTAGCATCCTATACTAAGCATTTAGGATTGCGGGTAAGGTATCAATGACTGTAGCAGCAATGACAGGCTATGCATCAGAATAGGATTAACGGAAAGCAGTAACATGCTACACTACTCTAATGCAAGCAGTATAGAGAAGAGTAGGCGATATCTGGTGATCAAAGGGGGGGCTTGCCTGGTTGCTCTGGCAAGAGAGAGGGGTCGTCAACTCCGTAGTCGAACTGGGGCGTCAGCATCGTCACGGGGTCTACCGAAGAGAAGAGGGGGGGAGAAACAGTAAATACATAGCAAGCAAGTGCATAACAGGATGACAGGCAGAGCTAGACGTGTTCTAACGCGGTAGGAGGTGATACCGGTGAAGGGGGGAAGCATCCGGGAAGTATTCCCGGGGTTCCATGTTTTCGGGCAGAGGAGCCGGAGGGGGGAAAGTTGCGAGTTCGATAGGTTAGGGGGGTGTGGCGGACGAACGGGTTGCGTATCCGGAATCGTCTCGTCGTTCTGAGCAACTTTCATGTACAAAGTTTTTTCATCTGAGCTACGGTTTATTTTATATTAATTTTAAAAGATAAAAATCATTTTTAGCATTTATTTTAAATATTTTAATCCAACATTATCCAGAACAGTGCACGCTGACGTCAGCATGACGTCAGCATGACGTCAGCAGTCAACA